ATCTACTTAGTCTCTTGATCATATTCGCCTGGCTCACCCACCATGCTTATAATTCGCCAAGATGCTTGACCAAAGCTTGGTGTACCGCGCCATCCAGACGCCAACTCTCTTAGTCTCCGCCACAGTAGCATCTGACCACCTTTTTCTAGCCCCTTTGGATACTAGAGGCACGCCGCGTCGCTAACTCCGCAGTAACTTACTCGTGCCCTATTGACGTTCTATCTTGACAATCACTAGCATTCAGTATATTAATCCTCCTATCCGAGCACTCCGAGCACCGTCGGAGGTCCGTTTATCTACCGAAAAAGCGAATTTGGCAGAACTGTTGAAGATTGCGCGATAGGCTGGTGATGAAGGACCGCACAGCACGTATCTACACAGAGCCTTCAATCAGAATCTTGGTCTCATTGGCGTGCACATACCTCTCTACGTTGTTGCTTAGAGTTCTTGGCAATGCTTGACTCTTACGGCAATGATCGCCAAGTCATGGTGGATATGACCTGGTTCCAATGACCCACTGTTATCAATCCTCTGATGAATTTCGGGAGGGGTAGACATTCTGCACGAAGAGGCCAATCAAGATCCTCAGAGAAGCGATATTCTGAGCTTATTTGGTCCAGATGCATCTAGTTCTTTGCTCTTCGGGCACTCTCGTCCGGCACTCCTATCGCGAGGCGAGAAGATCTCCTCTGGACTTGCTGAATTTGCACCTCAACCAACTTTCGGGGGACGGCGAAATGGCAGTGCGGGCGCAATTCTCACGGAGAATATGCCAAATCCGACCACTAGATGTGAATCAGATGCTATTCTCCATCGGTCTCCGGTCCTTCTCCTCACCTCATGGTAGAGCGGAGACGCTTAGATCCTAATTGCTTAGTTTGAGATGTCGAGCGATAAGGCGTCTTGTGCAGGAGTCGTTCTACCACAGAGATATGGAATGTGTGGTCCGGTGCTCAAGTATAAATTGAAGCTGAATTCCCCGTCCAAAATGTCTAGCAGCTCAGGCAAGACTCGCAGGTTCTTGACTACCATCAGCCCTCAAGCTCATACTCGACAGCAATACTCTCTTCCTCACCAGTCATCGTCACCACCATGAAGTTCACTTCTGTCCTCGCCTCCGGCTTGCTCGCCACGGCTGCCATTGCTGCTCCCCTGACAGAACAGCGTCAGGCCCGCCACGCCCGTCGTACGGCCCGCAACTCCAACAGATCGAGCCACCCTCCCTACAAGCCCGGCACCTCCGAGGTTATCAAGCTCAGCAACACCACTCAGGTCGAATACAGCTCCAACTGGGCTGGTGCCGTCCTCATCGGCTCAGGCTACACGGCCGTGACCGGCGAGTTCGTCGTCCCTACCCCCCGCGCCCCAAGCGGTGGCTCTTCCAACGAGCAGTACTGCGCCTCCGCCTGGGTCGGTATCGACGGTGACACCTGCAGCTCCGCCATCCTGCAAACCGGCGTCGACTTCTGCATCCAGGGCGGTTCTGTCTCCTTCGACGCCTGGTACGAGTGGTACCCCGACTACGCGTACGACTTCAGCGGCATCTCCATCTCCGCTGGTGACACGATCAGGGTCACCGTTGATGCGACCAGCAAGACCGCTGGCACGGCGACTGTCGAGAACGTGACCAAGGGCAAGACTGTCACTCACACCTTCACTGGTGGTGTGGACGGCAACCTGTGCGAGTACAATGCCGAGTGGATCGTCGAGGACTTTGAGTCCAACGGGTCTCTGGTGCCGTTTGCTAACTTCGGCACTGTTACCTTCACCGGTGCTCAGGCTACCCATGGCAGTTCCACTGTTGGTCCTTCTGGTGCCACTATTCTGGATATCGAGCAGAACGGCCAGGTTTTGACTTCGGTTTCTTCTTCCAGCAGCTCTGTCACTGTCAAGTACGTCTAAGAGCTGTTGTTGTGAATGAGGCCAACGCTCTGGGATAATGATGAATATAAGTGTTTTGATGAGAGACGAATGGCGGAGTGAGGGGGGAACGAGGGGACAATACCTGTAGTGAGCCTGAGGTAAACCTGCTTAATTCTTCAATATATCATATTTTCTCTCCTGCTTCATACATATTTATCAGTCTTGATATGGATGGGAAAATCCTATCAAAAAAAAAAAAAAAAAAAATCAGGTCACGACCTGTTCTGAAGACTCTCCGTCCATCATTTCTGTCGAGCAGTTTGATTCCGTCTGGCCGAGATGCTTTACCATAACGCTACCCCGCTTCCTCTATCCCATCAAGCACGACAATGTGCATACAGTTAACAAACTAGTGCATACTTTTGTTTGCTTCCAGCAAGGCCAGTGATATTCAGGACTAGTGCATCCAACTTTGACATTTTTCAATGTAGGGCACCTTTGTTCAGTTGTGAGGCATTGTTCCAGGTCAATGTGATTTTATAGCGCAGTACATGCCCATGAATAGGAAATTATCTATAACAGGGTTTGACTTTGACAATATTTTCCTCTTGGGACGTATCTTTTATGTCTTGAATGCTTCCCCTTGATATCGCCGATTTATTGTGGGATATGACGTTTCTGCTCCATATTCGAGGCCTTGGTCTTCTCAAGATGCAAGTGAAGCAGAGTCTGATGCCGACGACGACATTTCCGAAACACACGTTACGGAATCAATCAACTCCGAAAATGGACATAAGAAGAGGGTAGACATTACGAAGATCCTGAATATCGCGTCTTTGCCGAAGCATTCAGATTGGCTGTCTCCATGCAAGGGATCCCCGTGCAAAGGTTAACGTCATGTTCCACGCAAGAGTCTTCAAGGGGATTCTGGGACTGGTGTGTTGTGATGTGACTTCATAGGAGATTGATTGAGTTTGGAGTGTGTACCTGAGATTCATGTCTCATCCTCTTCTCTTCTTGTTTCTCTGAGAATGATCTGTCCGACACATTCATAAATAATTATTTGTTATAACATGTATGATGAAGATCACGGTATCTGCTAAGTATGCGTCAGCTATAAATTAGGAGACTTTGCCATGTACATATCCATATCCACTGTGTTAATAGGACTCAATCCTCAACACCATTCGCCATGAGATGGAGCCTTTGAACAGAGCTCTGAAGATCCGACCTCCTGCAGTCTTTCGTCAACGATCTCTGTACATCACACCACATATCATAAGTGCATTTCGATCGGAATCCCGTCAAGGTATTCACTTGGCCATAGACGCTTCATTATTCATTCCTATCCATGAGTTCAGCTACGTCGCGCGTATGCGGTAGCTCTGAAGGCGGTCCATTACGACTGCGCACATAGGCGCTGCCCTTGTCGTCTGATACTACTGTGGCTGGCGGTACTTGTGTCCGCATCGCCCGTCTTGCTCTTCGTTCAAAGACCGCCCAAGTCAGTGCCATCAACGCAATGACTCCCAGCGGAACTCCCACTCCAGCTCCAATCGCAGTGTCATGACAAGATCGCGTCGCCGTAACCGTGGAAGAGGGTGCCGTTGTAGCTGACGATGAGGAAACATTGCTCAAAAGAGCCACACCGGTTAGCGCGTGACCCGTTGGGATCTGGAAGCTATCCATTCCTTCTGGACAGATGACATCCGTCCCATTTGTGATAGGAGTGCCGCAGCAATATGTCGCTATACCGTTCTCGTAGGTGAGATTAATTATGGAGCAACCCCCATCCCGATTCATATCCTCTGCGAGATATCTCGATCAGAACTGACTAGATAATGTGCTTAATGAGAGGTGTGCCTACTGCAATACTGCGGACATCCATCGCCCCAATTTTTGTCTGTGCAACTCCCTCGACCCGCCACGTAAGGTTGATGGGCAACGTTCAGACAAAGTCCGTTGGACATGCATATATCCCCGGAGGTGCAACATCCAGTTGCTTCATCGGAGGAGCAAGGGACGTCACTCGATGGATTACCATTAGGAAAATAACATTGTCGCGTTGAATTTGCCATGGTTGCTGGGCCGTTAAGAACACCAAGGATTGAAAAGGATCGAGGTTGGATTGACTGAAAGGTGGGGGGTGCGTCCTTATCGTTCCTGGTCTCACCCCTGTTCTCTAGTACAGGAGACCAACGGCGCGCGAGGCTGAGACAGGTTGGTGAGGCCATAACCCCTGCAGATTTGGTGGCTTATGCGGGCGAACCTCGGCGGTTATTGTTGATTGATTTCTACCACATCCAATCAGGCGCAATCAAGGCCCGTCGGGGCTAGGATGTGACGGGCCCTGGGATTGGCAACTATCCCATATATATCATAGTGGCCTCTTGGTAATATTCCCCTTACGGAAAGTGAGTAGTAAGCGCCGCGTAAGAACATGGAATGGCTGTTTACGATAAAATGAGACGTTATGTCATATTCAATTAGACTATTGAGGCTCCAGCCGTAGATTATCAAATCCTTCTGCCAAAGGATTCGTTCCCCATGGTTGGCGTGACTATAAAGTGTGCGGCAGTACTTGGAGATTACAAGTGCTGTACGCGCTCTTGAAAGATGATGTCCGTCAAATGAGGTACGGTAATGAAAAGCTGGCCTTGATTGAGCAATGGTCGAGGTTTGTGGAGCATATAATTGAACAGAAATTGGAGGGCGCATTTTACGTCAAGCCCATGCTCAATGGGCATGAATTGATGGCGTTATTCAAGCTCGAGAGCGGTGGCCCATTCGTGCAGGAAGCATTAGATGACCTTTTGGAATGGCAATTTAATCACGAGAATGCTACGAAGGAGGAAGCGATGAAGTGGATGCTTACACAGAGGGAGAATTATGATGTCTGATCACAGTAGGTACATGACCTGGTGACGTAGCAGGCCAAGGGCCATTGTGAATGCAAGCAAGTACCTTATACAGCGTATTCCAATATAATGAGCAATGAGACAATGTAGCTGCATCGTCCTCCAGGACACAATGTGAAGGTAAAAAGATGTATAGAGTATTGTAAATGGACAGTCCAACTCATGTAAACAAAAGATTTGAGTTGCTTGTCAAGACCAACTTGCTCCTTCCATTTGGAATCACCACCCGAAGGCTTCAGCATGCCACCAGACCTCTCGTCCTTCCCGCACATACCTGCCAATACTTTCCCGTAATACCCTCCCCATCCCTGGTGGTCCACAAAAGAGCACTGCTACGCGCTCATCAGACAAGCCGAGGACATCATCCACAGTTTTGCCCAGGTCAGGCCGTCCCGTTTCCGCAGATGACCATACAACTGGTCTTGGCGCTTGCAACTCCTCCAACTCAACACTCTCATTCGGCGAAGGCTTTTGTCTGCGCATATGATAGGACTGAGTCAGGTATACTTTGACGTTCTCATCTTGCGTCAAGGCCTGCCCATCCGCCAACCCCATTATCCACGCCGCTTCTTCCAGCGACTTCATGGACCAGACAAATGTAATCCTATCTTGTCCCTTGCCCTCCGCTTCAACTTGCTCCTTCAGTTCACGGTAGACCGGCAAAGCAAAAGTCGCCCCGACTCCACCCGCCACAACAAGGATCCGATCATACTCCCTTCCTAGCTTTGCGAACCGTGGGATACTCCCAAAAGGTCCGTAGATCTCAACCAGACTTGGCTTCTCCGCCAAATCTGCCAGAGCATCTAAGGCTCTGGTCGTAGGACCATCTTGCACCCGCGCAACGAGGGTGATCTCATTATTCTCCGAGACACTCGCGACAGTAAATGGATTTCGAAGGAACATGTTCTGTATGAGCGGGGATTTGATCTTCATCGCTGTTTCCGCGTGCAACGATAAGTAGACGTGTTGGCCTGGCGCTGCTCGGAACCTTTGTACTCTCGATGCGGGAATAGGAATCTGGACCCTGATTAGGTTCGTCCGCGGGATTCGGGAGATGGTCGCGTATGCTGCGATGGTGTCTAGACGGTTGAGGAGGGATAGAATGGTAACAGCCAGTGTCTCAATAATGTACCAGCGTAGAGACTTTGCGTGAAAAACGAGAAAGGTAAGGAGGAGGGATGCAAGAATCGAGTGCGTGATGTAGAATAACCGATAGTTACGACAACGGACGGCTTCAGTGCTGGTGCTCACCATGGCGAAAAGGGACATGAATGATATGATGCCAAGGATGATGTTAAGCGATGTGAGATGCTCTTGCAGCGTTGCCGTTTGGATGAAGTAGTTCAGGTACAATGTCACATGGACAACGATCAGGAGGAATATCAGTCTGCCGAATATCCGGTGCCATGGTAGCAGTCTCTCATACGAAGTGTTGAAAAGCAATGCTAAAGGATTGTATCGAGATTTGACAGCAAGGACAAAATGTGTGGGCAATTGCGCCACAGCCACTATGCCAAAGCGCTTTGTCATATGAAGATAGTCTCAATAGTGTTAGCTTAATTGTAGGACATGGGTGAGAGTGGATGAATTACAACTCACCAGTTCCTGTCTGATGTATGCACAACGTGAGCAACCATAGCGCCCATGCTGCGCCAAAAATCCAATGCTGCCTTGCACCCCAGCCGGGAGCGACTTCATCTTCGAGCCACCACAGTATCGACCGCCATCGCCTCACAAAATTCCCAGGACTCGAAGTCCTTGACTCTGCTGGACGAGTAACTGCACTATATCCGTCTCTCCAAGTCGAGCGGAGATAGACCCAATGCCCTAATCGAAACAGCCAAAAGCACAAAATCGGTATGAAGACGGACAGCTGAGAGTATAACCCGTATCGGTCGAGAAGCTCTCGTCTCTGAGACTTTTCCTCTGCGCTGAGTTTAACTATGTGATAAGGCCAACCCATGGCTGGGTGAGTCTTACGCGTCGCAGCGATGAGGAAAGATGACTCGATCATCCCTGTGGGGAATCGCCAAGTTATCAATCTGGATCCCCTTGCACCAACGGAGAATGGTGAAGCCGGTTGGAGTGGTTGAGATGATTGGCTGGACTCTTGCTGTCTCCGTCAGCAATCCAATCTCTGTACTTTGATTGGTCTGTCTAGAATATGCAATCCGGGATCCACAGGAACGATAAATTTTGATCTGATAAGCTCTTTGGAAATCAATCAGACATGGCTCATGAAATAGGGCCTTGGTATTGATAAGGTGTGTTATAATTCAGGGTATCCTGAATGAGACATTGAGCTTTACACCGGAAATGGCCTGATGTGCAATTGTGCTATCCATCAGCTTATATAGACAAAAAAGTCCAGTGTATACCAGAGCAGCTGACTAGAAATCAGGTTATAATAATAATGCATGAAAATAGCAGCTACAGTACTTTAACCAGACAATAAAGAATAGGACTCATTAAATAGGGCATTGGACTTATAAACTATAAGCGCCATTTGAAAGAATAAATCTCAGTTTAAACCCTAATTGATACAGTCAGGTATTCAGCCTATCATCACCCAGATGACTAGACAGTAGCGTACCTGATCACCGCCATTGCCCAGCATCTTCAACACCCTTTGCAACTCGGTTCGCTCCATCTTCAACGCCCGTCCCGACACTTCCCAACGCATCTCCAACAGGCTTGCCTGCACTTCCGGTTGCACTTGTGATGGTGTCACCGACTCCTCGAGCGGCTGCACCAGTTACTCCGCCAACAGTGCGAGAGACGCCGCCGACAGTATTTCCCAGAGTGGAGGTGACGAATTTCGCGGCGCCAGTGACGCCGGTGTCTTGGGAGGAGGAGAAGTTGTTGTTTGGCATGGTGATTAGCTTTGATTGATTTGATTTGTAGTCTTGTAGTAGAACAGATAAGTAGCAGGTTTCAAATTTATAGACAGAGAAGGTATGTTTCACTGGTAGTTGTTGTGGTGTCTGGATATAGGACATGAGGAAGTTATATATTGAAGCGTACACAAATGACGTCATATCTTACATAGCACAACGGTAACAATGATGGATGTGGCGGTGTGTTCTTTAGTTATTGCAACCCATTTGCTCAATATTGCTATATATCTTCATTCAAGTACACAAGCCATGAACATTAAAGTGAATGGTGTAGGTAGGAAGATAGAGCTGTTATATGAATCCTATGCGAAGGGATTGTGTTGGAGTGACTCTCTTATCAGAGTTTAAGACAACCTTATATGTAAATTATGCATAGCTTCATGCATATCGTCAAAAAGATTAAGACATACTGTGGTACATTCATACATTACTAAGGAGTACTTATGAAGAATCCAAATATACAGTAGATGGAGCAGACAAAGTTCTCCATAGATACCCCGCACACCATGTATCACCAAAATTGCCCAAGACGGCGCATCCTGTATTTTTCCGCCAGTCACATCTCCCATCTCTAATCCACAAGCATACGACCGACTATATATCATTGCAACCCTGCCATTCAGCACCATGTCCTCAAGAATCAACCCCATTGCCGACCAAGATGTCTCTCGAATCCCACACCCAGCAGCTCACGCAATCGCTCGCCCAAGCCAACCTCACCCCCGGCTTACTCCCTTTCCTCCCCGCAGACTTCAAACCCACCATCCAGCTCCACGTCTCATTCAACGATAAACCCGTTTCCTTGGGGAATCTCTTCCGCGCAAGTGAATGCAAGACAGCTCCAACTGTATCCTTTTCCAAAGAGGTAGATATACTCCGCCAACAGCACCGACGCAATCTAACCGGGATAACAGGAGAGTAATCAACCCTCTTCAACAAGGTATACCCTCCTCCTAGTTGACCCCGACGCGCCTACACCCGACGACCCCAAATTCGCCTTCTGGAGACACTGGGTCGTCTCGGGATTGAAGGCCGCGGAGGCGGACAGCGGCACCGCATTGACGGAATATCTGGGTCCTGGGCCGAAAGATGAGTGAGTTTTAGTATTTTCGCTGATTGGGATAACGGATAAAGCTAATGGTGCAGTTCACGCCCGCACCGGTATCTATTCCTGCTATTCCGAGAGCCCGCGGGGTTCGCGCTGACGAAGGAGGATGTTGGCGGGGAGGAATTTACTGCGAGGCGGTCGTTTAAGGTTGCAGAGTGGGTTGAGAGGCACGGGTTGCAGTTGGTCGGGGTGAATTGGATGTTGGGGGCTGGGGATGGATGGACAGAGTGAGATTTGGGTACTGATATGCATAGACACGAAGAGGTATGCACAGTGGTAGACTGCGTGGTAGAGAACATATATTAGAATACAATTTTATGTCACTTCATAGGTATCACTGGACTAAAGTCACTATTATCATTAGATATTGCATAAATGCCGTTGAGTGGTATTGTCAATCTCGTCACCTTCCCCCAATCTAGGTAGCCTTCTTTCTGAACGCTTTAGTAGGTCAATCCCCAGCGAGGGGCATTGATGATGATTCCCATGAGACAGCCGGAAATAATTCCAGACACAGGGAGGGTAGTAATCCAGCCAAAGTAGATCCATGCAATCATGCGCCAGTTGATGGTTCTCCAAGTGCCGTTGCACAGACCCACACCGACTGTGGCACCAGAGATACACTGGGTGGTGGAGACAGGGAGCTCTGCAGATTGTTAGCACTATGATCGCTAAAGGAGTAACCCGGGGATATAACATACTCAGTCTGGTGGCCATGATGACGGTAATGGCAGAGCCCAGCTCCATGGAGAAGCCGCGGGATGGAGAGTGCAGAGTGATCCTGTTACCCAGGTTGCGCATGATGTTGTAGCCGTAGGTCCACAGACCGATGACGATGGCAGCACCTCCGAAAGCCCTAAGGATGATTAGAGATGCTACTAGGGAGGCGAAGGGTGGATACTCACAGGATCCAGTAGGGAACAGGACTCTTGGACTTGAGTTCGTTGGTCGACCAGACATAGTAAATGGTGGCATAAGGACCAACGGCGCTGGATAAATCTGTCAGCAGGTGTTCAACAGGAGGAACATGCCCAGAACACATACTTGGAGACATCGTTGGCGCCGTGAGTGAAAGAAGCAGTAGAAGCAGTCATGACCTGGAGGAAGGAGTACATGTATTCGGCCTTGTTGTCATAATGGCGCGCATGGGCGTGGACCATCTCCAAGTCACCAGAGAGAATGTTGCGCTTCTTCTGCAGATCGACAACATCTTGATCGATACCGCGGAAGAAGAAGCGACGGAACTGCCAGAAGAGGACGGCGGGGCTGAAGGCTGCTCCTTCAGGGCGAGGGCCGATGAGAGTAAACTTGGGCTCATCGACCTCGGCAGAGGCAGCAATAACCTGGCCCTCCTTGCCTTCCTCGCCCACGGCAGGCTCGCTCTCCTCATCGGAAGGTCCGGCTCTCTCAATGTTAGCACGTTCGCGCTCCAGCTCCTCTAGGGTCTTGTGGCCCTTGTAGTAGTCCTGCACAGACTTGTAGCCCTCAGGAGCAGGGGGCACTTCGCCGCGACGCAGCACAAGAGGACCCATGAAGAGGTGGTACCACTTCAGCTGCCAATCCTCCTTGATCAACCTCCTGTAGAGCCACGGGAGGAAGAAGACGGCGACAAGAAGCGCGACGGCAGCACCAACGCCGATGATCACACCGGTAGTCTCCGAATCAGTGAGCGTGATTCTGCTGGAACCACCCTTCCACACGATAAGCACTGTGCCAGTCAGCATCGTCAAGCATCATATTACGGTGGGGAACGTACTGGTGAGCAAAGCAGAGGTGATGCCAAAGTAAATGGGAATGGAGATGAAAGCCTTCAGAACCGAGTTCTTACGCTCCATGACTCCGTACTTTGTGAAGAGGAAGATGATGGCACCAAAGGCACCGGACAGAAGAGGCGCAATGATCCAGGCAAGGAAGACCTGGACAACACCCGAGTTGATGTCTCCTCCCCACCACTTGATGCCATCGGATCCTAGAGCAGCAATGCCCATACCGATCACACCGCCCATGATGGAGTGAGTGGTCGAGACCGGCATGCCGAAACGGGTGGCGATGGTGAGGTAGATGGAAGACGAGGTGACAGCGCAGACCATACCCAGCATCAGCAGGGCAGGGTTCTTCTCGAAGGCCTTGACGTCGACGATCTTGGTTCGGATGGTATCTGCGACACGAGCACCTACACCAATACTATAGCGGAATGGTTAGTATCCTCCAAGTGGTTATATGATACCTGTACCGGAGCAGACATACCTTCCACTAAATTCCATGATAGTAGCCAGGACCATGGCCTGCCAGTACTTCAATGAGCGAGACGACACCGAGGTCGCCCATGAGTTGGCGACATCATTAGCACCGATGTTGTATGCATCGAGGAAGGCAAAGATAGTGCCGAGAGCGAACAGGTAATCGAACTGATGGAGGGCCATCTTGTCGATGCAAGGATGGATAACCTATATCTTTTCCTTACAACTTGCTGGTAAGATCGTCCCTATGCGTAGTACTGGAGCGTGCATGGTGCTTATATAGTAAGCATACAACAGCCCTCGGCATCAGCAGAAACCATTCCAGAAAACCATAAAACGCGCGAGAGGCGTTCAAACTAGATCCAAGGCAGTCCAGATCCCTTCGCTAAGTTTTCACATTGACCTCCAGCTCGCAGGAATCTGCCTCATTATCTCGTGAGCAATGACACCGCAGTCAGTTGACAGGCTCTCTGGCTGTCTCTCTGCTTCTTCCTGACTCTTGGCGGCCCTCGGCCAAGACCTCCTCCAGCCCTCCGTCAGAAAGCTTGTTTGGCCAATCACAGATCCACCTGATGGAACGTGGTCTGCGATCCAGTTTACTCTGACTTCAGTCCAATCTATTCTGGTGTCTTGGATTCTTGGCACTTCCGCTGCTGAATGTTTACAGCGATGCTGGCGGGCGACAGGCCACTCGGGGATGCGCCAGGCCATTCGTAACTGACGTAGGTTGACTGGCCACATGGCGCAGTGATACGACCATATGCGTCTGCATTTCGCTACAATGTCTTGGAAGTTGGACCTTGGAGGTTTACCAGCGCCACAAACCATTCAAGTCATGAAATTCGTTAAATGAGACTATTCATTCGGATTCTGAGCATTCACACCCCTCCTGAGACCGAGGCAGCTCTTTCACTGAGCTCCTCAGCGTCTTCACCTCCTGCTCAAGACTCTGAATATACTCCACAGCCGTTTCAATCAGCTCAACCTGCAGTAGAGTCGACACAGTCAGCAATTACCAGGTGATCCACCCCTTAATCCCCAGCTTCAGTAGACAGCAACCCCTGCAGGAGTTCAAAGCACACGCACCTTTGTCCCAGACAACCCCCTGGGGCCAGAACCAACGCCACCAGCGTGTAGCACCCGAGCCATCTGCTCTAGCGCCGCCTTTAGCCGATCTCGTTGATTCTTCTGCGAGATAGCATGTCGTTTGCGTCTGGAATCGACCTGGCCTGATGCACCCTCGGGGAACGTGATCAACACACCCTCTGTACTCCGTAGAAAATGGGTCAGTCCATCCCAAAGGAACCGCCAAGGCGAAGAAGTTGGAATTTCCCGATCCTTTTGACTGAAATTACTAACCTCCCTTTGGCCGGAGCTCGATGAACCGAGGTGGAGGCCTTGCGGCTGTGCTCGAATAAGAGGATGGGGGGGTCGGCGACATGGTGTGCTGGTGGTCGAATGGCTGGATTCTGTGGTGTCTCGTGCTGTTGTCTCCGTGGAGTCCGGGTCGGTATATATATTTGATCTGAGGTTTGCTAGGGGCGTAATAACTCCGCTCGATAAGGACTGTCATATTGAGTAACACCGTAGACGTAGTCTTGGCCTGGTAAGACTTGGATTCCCGTGTCGGTTCTATCTGGTACAAAGGGAGGTTATTGTCGTAATTAGCCTCAGTTCATCATGCGCTGGCCATTTGCCTCCATTGAGATCCCAAACCCCCCAACACTACCTACCCTTATGGTTATGGTCTTCCGATCAATTTACTTGACTAATGTCGTATACAGGCTATAAGGACATAGATAAGTTTCTCTGAGTCCAAGAACTCTAGCCACCAGGCTCTCCCAACCGTCATGTATTCTTCATTCTCAATGACTGTATTGGAATCTCTATGCTTATTCTAACGTTGCACTCGCCGTGGTGGAAGATTCCTGTTCAGGTTGAGCTACAGTCAGACAGAGCACACGCTTTGACTCCCGAAGGGTTGTCATCTACTACTAATTACGATGTACAGTCCGCCCAGATATAATCTGCCATATATGTCTAGTCGTATTTACGACAATTAATGATCATATATCGTAAGTAACTATCTCAACACAACGAGGAATGCCGCTACGCCTGAACCAACCGCTCCAGCTTCCGTAGCAAACCATCCGGTTCAGCCACCCCCTCCGCCGCAATCTGGTCCGCACGCTCCTGTGTATCCGCCACAGCATAGATTCGAAGCTCATCCGCATTCCCCGAAGGCCGGAAATGAGCGACATCTCCATTCTGGAAGATGACGCGCACCCCATCCGTGTAATCTATACGAGAGATCGATGAAAACCCATGTCGCGCAGAGAAAATCCCTTCCAGGTCTTGACGGATCCGATGGGACCGCTCTTCCGCGGTCTGTGCTCCGCCCTCACGCAGTGAGAAGCGGTCGATGATTTTCATGCTCGTGGCACGAGGGAAGTTCCTGATCAGCGCAGCCCGGCTGGACCGTTTGGGGAGTGTAGTAAAGAGGGCCGGCAGGGCCATTTGCCGGCTTTGCGCTGCAAACAGGGCACAGAGGAGCGGCAGGACCGCATCGCGCGTCGGGAGCGCAGTGAGCATCTTGCCGTTGCGCTCGATATCAGAGCCCGTCAGAAAGCCGCCGTTGGCTTCCCATCCGCAGACGCGCTGGCGGCCTTTGGCCACGGCGCTCTGCATCCCGGCGATCACGTACGGACTGCCGATCTTGGTTTTCGGCTCGAGAGCGCCGGCTAGAGGACCGCGGTCGATGGCGTCGTTCGTGCTGATTGGGACCACGACAGAGTCGGCTTGCAGGAACTCGGCGACGATCATGCCTAGCAGGTCGCCGCCGAAGAAACGGAGTCTGTTGCCCTCGGGGGCGAGGAGGAGCGGGCGGTCGCTGTCTCCGTCTGTTAAGACGACCGCGTTGAATGTCTGGCCTGTGCTATCGTACAGATTCTGGACGGTGTTGAGTTGCGCCTCGTCGATGGCTTCGGTGTCTATCGGGACAAAGGTCTCGCTGCGACCGGCGGGAGTGGCCTCCGCACCAAGCTTCTCCAAGATCTCAACCACAACATCGCGACCGACGGCAGAATGCTGGTACACGAGAATCTTCATTCCCTTGAGTGATTCGCCTTGGAAGAAGTCAAGGTAGCGCTGGATATAGGCAACTCTACCCTCGGGCGCGACAGGAGGAAGATCTGATGGGGACTCGCGAAGCATGCCTTGTTCATTGAACAGAGAATCGGCAAAGGGCTGAGAGAGGAGCTCTTCGCGCACAACTTCGACCACATCATTGATGGGCTGTTCGTCCTTCTTGAGGAGCTCTCCTTTGGAGGTATTGAGCTTGTAGCCGTTACGATCAAACGGGATGTGGCTCCCCGTTACCATGATACTTCCCTTGCCCTTTTGGAGAGCAAAGAAGGTGAGTGCAGGCGTAGGAATAGCCCCGAGATTGATCGGGTGCATGCCTCCATCTTTCAAGGCTTGCACGACCGCTTGACACAGACCACCGCGGTGGTTCTCTACATAGCCAGTGGAGCTGGGTCGAAGGTCGTGAGCAAAATAGAAGTCGTCGCCTTCGCGGATGCCTCCTTCTGAGACCTGCAATGACTGCAAATAGCGGATCTCTGCGAGAACATTTGTGTAGATCTCGAGCTGCGTCAAGTCAACCACCTTGCCCCTCCGACCACTAGTGCCAAATTTGAGGGGCTGCGGTTTATATGCCAGGTGCAAGCGCAGGGCGTCGGATGGGGAAGTAGACGACATCCTAGATAGAAATAGAACTTCGACTGTAGTGCGATGGAGATTTGGCAAACAAAATATGGCAACTTTGATCAAATGGAATCGATAAACAAAGGGTGTAATGATCGGTGAGGAGAATATAAGAACAGCTCATGCCAAGCTGTCAACTCAGCTTGGTGTTCTGCCTGAGGCAGCAATCGATTAGGAGTGTTGCCCCAGGCATCACTACTCAAAGGTGAATCCGTCTGTCTCGTAGTACGAACGCGCAATACTAGTCACGATAAATAGTGGAGGAGGAGATAAGTCGAGGTCCAAAGAAATGAGAACGGGAATCTATTCAGCTGTAATAATCGCTGCTATGCTAATAACTAAACACTCAGGAATCATGCGAACAAGAGTATCAAACAATAATATGTACAGCGGTAAGGTATGGAAAACAAAAATTCAGACCACGCCGTCTAGGAGAAGTCGGATTGTTTTGGCGATGCCGGCGCCACCCTGTTTTCTACAGTAGAGAAATTGAAAAGATGCATCAATCATTCAGACACCTCGTCATAGCTTTTGGCCCTTGTTAAAGCGCTCGAAGGACGAAACAGGAGGTGCAGAGTTGGGATTGGGGTGGTGAATTTTCAAAGCCATCTTAACGTTGTACTCGAGGTCGAGCTCGGCCTTGGGGTCGTCGGTCTTGGGTTTGAAATCAACGACAAGGTCATCCTTGACGGCGAAGACCGAGTCGATGTCGAGATGCGGGTCGTCGCTGGGGTAGATCTGGTTGATGATGGTGGCGTAGTCGGGGTGGGTGATCATGAGGTGAATGTGGGCGGGCCGCATGGGAGAGCGATCCATGAGATTGAGGAGCACACCGGCCGGACCGTCGGTGGGCAGAGAGTAAGGGGTAGGGCGGTAGCAGTACCAGTAGAACTCGCCCTTCTCGTTCGATCGGAACTTGCCGCGGAGGTTGTTCTCGCTCTGGTTGGGGTCTTGGAAGTCGTACTGGCCGTTGGCGGAGGCTTGCCAGATGTCGAGGACTGCGCCGACGATGGGCTTTCCAGTCTCCATGTCGGTCAGGACACCGTGCATGAAGGTGACCTTACCGTTGGGGTTGGGGTCCTGGATGATGCTGTCGCCGAGATTGCGGAAGGGAGCGTTGGGCGACCAGAAGGGCCCGAGAATGACGTTGGAGGTGGGAGTCAGCCCCTCGTCAGTGACGATTTTGTTGGCGATCTCATCAACAAGTCTGATTTAGTCGTTAGCATTGATTGTTTTAACCTTTGATGGTTGCGTCGCTGTACTTACGATTCAAGACCGATAACATCGCAAATGCGGTGGCACTCGTTGCGCACGGGAGTGCTGATCTTGCCGATAGAGTTGATGAACTCGACTCCAAGCATCCACTCGGCGGGAGTGAGCTCCACCTCACGAGCAAAGTCGTGGATGTGCTTGATCAGAGATCCCAAGACGACGCGAGCGCGCTCAGGGGTTCTGGGTCCCATCGAGTTGATCACATAGGGAGTGAAGTTGGGGTCGAATTGGCGCTTGGGCGACATTGTGTATTTGTGTGTATGAAGATGGGTCGAAATGACACGACTGGAGGATTTGCGAGGAAGACTAAATTGTCTATGGTGGATGATTGACGAAGGAATTAGAGAGAGGCATCACTGCTCTTATAATCATTTCAATATGTGTGGTGAATCTGGATACTGAGGAGGTCAGATGGCGACGGCAAATACGGTCGGCTCCTAGACCATGGGTTTATGAGGGGCCCCGCCTGGCGTCGGGGTCAGATAAATAGCAGGCACGGTTGCTACATGCCGAGAGATTTAAGAACAAATTGATTGCATGACTCCACCATTCTGGCAACTGTCAAATCTAAGGACCGACCGTCGGTCGCCAGCAGATCCTAAGAATTGATCAGCCGAGTCAATTGGCACTTCTGGCAGATATGCATTTCCGTCTCCTCCACTGGCCTGAGAAGGCAGGCAGGGACACGGCTCCCCACGCCGGCGATCGGTTATGGAAGGGCAACCGGCGCGGGGGGATTCGATGGCTGCAAACAGCTTACTAAACATCGATCTAGCTGAGAACGGGGATCGGATATTCAAAGTACTAGCCGTACTGTGCTGCCGGAGTAGATCTTACCCGCGGGCAAAAAAATCAAGAGGCAGCATTCCACGTGACTCAGTCTTGGCGTTTATTCTTCCAATATCTGCTTTGCCATTGGTTCATCACAATCTACATCATGTGATTTCTCTGTATTTCCTGAGGCTGACGATAATAATCCTCTTTGCACTTATCCTTTCGCATGATTCGGCAGTATCCTAGAAAAGTTTGCGCTGCCGGGGGGTAGATAATAGCATATTGCCAGAGTATCTTTGGTCAGCAGCCGAAAGGCATGTGGAAAAGCCTACTTCCAAGCCTCTTTCTCTCATAGTGCTCAACCCTAGTGCTCTTGTCGACACTTAAATTTAATGTTAAGGTCCCTACTCCTTATTCCTCTTATCCAAGGCACAAATGAATGCCAAGGCTATGCTTCAGTTTAACCAGCACAAACCTATTAGCTTTGACACCATATCAGCTTCCTACCCTATCTAAGTCGAGAGGCGCATTCAATACTACTTAGTTTCATGATCTCTTACACAATTTCTTTTTGTATGAGCAGGTGTGCTGGTGTTGCGATAGACTCATGGGAGACTCATGTGACATGGATCCCATGGTACATATTACAGCCATAAACTACTAATCATACATGCTGTTTCTATCAACTAGTGAACTAGGCCTTTAAGTGTCATGGTTGAACATAATTCACTCTGCCTGCTTCATCTTTATTATCTGAGTTTGTAAGCTGGCAATAATATGCTGGAAAAGCTAAACTTGGTCTACATGGAGGCCATCATATCAGTGTTCTTTATCATTCCACATCCAACAATCTGTAAGACTAAGTTCTTTCACGTTGGTCTAAGCCACTGTTTGAGGACTGCTGCCTAGGGCTCCGCTGCATGGAGGGTACTTAGTTGACCAGCCCCTTGGTCAGCTTGGAGCGCGGCAGCCCTGTTCCATGATATACCAAGCCTATTATCACTCCGACTGGGCATGTTGGAGTTGGATATTTGGGCTAAGATATGCAAAGAATTTTGGATATGAAGATTGAGGACGCATTCGCAGTTGAAGGGAAATCTTGAGAGGGGCTGGTATAAGAAGTTGCATTCTAGGTTTATGCTTGCCTAACTCCTTAACCAGCACAGTCTGGCACTTGTCCACCAGCTCTATGATATTGTGTGTCACCACTATTAACTTACTGACAAGCAATGTCTATAAATTAATATCAGTGTACTGCTAAGAACTACCAGTACAGTTCTTTCGTTATGACTATATTTAGCTGCAGAACCGCTGTGTGCCTCATATAACTACTCTTTGATTATTTGTAAGCCCTAGTGAGACATCTCATTAGGAAGTAGTATTATTATGCTAGACTTTACAAGATAATGACATCACGGACAGCATGTGAAAAGCAGATTCAGGTCAGTAAAATCCAGTATAGAACTTCTAAAGAGGGTCAAACATAATTATACTTCCATGCTAACTTTGTCACTCTTTAGGCATCACAAACCCATCCATTTCAGCACTAGCTATAATAGACAAATGAACACATAGGTTCAGTTGAACTACATCATTAGTTAACATTATGTGTAGTAACTCTGTGCTTGATGAAAGAAAAGTAACAGGGAATTTTTGGGCCCAGTTTAACTTTAGTTGCTACCACAAGTCAACTGACATTGCCATGCTTGGTAAGGAAACAACTAGAATATCTATGCTTTAGCTACCTATGGTCATAATATGGCTAGATATTATAGTCGCCTTACCCCATACTTTCCAATAAGCTTACTGCACTTACCTAGGTCTAGGCTGCCCACTAATGATGTGGGGCCCCGATCCTGATATTAGGAAACTTGGGCCCTATATATTCATACACAGAGATTAGGGGAGACCGGTCGAATCCAATCAATCTGTCTCTGATTGCAACAAACTGTGCATTTGTGTTTGCTATTTTACTCTTATGCAATGATGATTATCTTGAAGTCGTACTTCTCAATACGACCGCTGCAAACGGATAAGAGCCACTTACTAAAGTCAATCTACGAACCCAGATATTACGGAACCATGGAACACCAGCCCCATGATATCAATGACTAGGCTAAATTTGGAAACACAATGGTATTCAACTTAAGTGAGAGGCAATATATGAGAGCACCAGTATGGAGCGACTCCCAATTTCAGAAAAGTAGGGACTGCATGACAAAGAGATGATTTCGACCTAGGCTGTCTAGACCAATCTACTCGACATACGGTTGAATGTCCATAGAAAACATTGCTCTGCGCCCCCTTGATCTCCTGATGTGCAATGGATCAAGATGGTGAAGGATCAGTAGTTATGACCACGCATTACCTCACAGAAAATATTTCCTGCAACCTAGAGCGCTATAAAAGAGAAGGGGGTTCGTCCTATCCTTCAGGACAAGCCCTAATTTCTGCTTAGGGAGAAATTGACAGACAGATCCAAATCAAAATGAAGATCTCTATGAACATTGCACTTGCGCTTGCCTTCCTTACCTCCTCTCTCTCAGCTACCGCCTCCGCTGAGGCTCCCCTTGTGACTGTCCAACTTGCCAATGACCAGTCCGGTGCCTATGCGAATGTGGCTGTTCGAGCAGATGGTGTCAAACATACCGTCGAATCACTCTGGGGCAAAACAGCACTTGCACGCAATGGTGTTGTTTATGCATCAAGCACCCAGCTCACAGCATTTCAGCAGAATACTGCCTGCAGAATTTTCCGACCAGGCATAGATGTGACACTAAATGCATGGCATACTTGGTCCTGGTTGGATGCTGGTAAGGTGGTGGATTTGGACGGAGCTTCCTTGGTCTGCAAAGATGCATGATTATATCTAAGTTGGATGGGACTTTTTACGGACTAATGGTTGAAACTTTTGATCATATTCAGCTGCCTATTTTTCATGCTGGTGACTATGACAAAAAGCAAGATTTATGTGATGTAATTTAAGTTACTATGTCAACTCATCTTTGCATGTTATTAATAATAGCAATCAGGGAAGCTCTTAATCTATATTGATTCACAGATCCCTTATGCGCCAAATAATGATCTTTATATGTTTTGTCTTCTCAACATTAATATACAAGGGACGCTATCTTGGCAAATCAAACGGCTGAAGACATATTCAGAACCAGATACACCAGAGCTTTTGTATTATGCTCTCACAGATTAATGCTATAGCTGCCATAACATTTATTCATTATAACACTGAAACTTAGCGCTAGACTTGTTCTACAAGCAGTTACTGTGGCGCTAAAGAAGACTTATATAGGTTGACTATATATAATAGGCGGTCTAAAAATCGAACTTAAATCCATAAAAAATGCGCCAACATAGGATTGTTCTGAAGTAACACAAGCATGACTGAACTAAATGTCTCCAAAAACATTGTGCTTGCTCAGCCCATTGAAGAATCCTCTGAGTTTACATCTTCAAAGGCAGCACAGTCAGGGCCGAAGTTGTATCATTTTCGATCAGAAAAATAGGTCGTAGTGTCTGTTGCGTGGACACTCACCCTTCAAATGGCCTTCTTCTTCACCTACATGGGCTCATGGTTAGCTTCCTTCATAAATTCCACAATCAACTTACAATAGAAGCAGAACACATCATTGCAGCATTCGGACACTTTTTGGTCACTCTCATGACCTGGAGAATATAATGTCAGTATCAGACGCAGATGTTTTTGTGCTTCTGGTTACAAACATTTACCGCAAGGTTCGTCACATGTATCTTCCAAATGTCCAGGCCACCCGCAGTTTCGACACCTGCCTTCCACTTGCCGGCGATATATACCCTTCTCGAACGCTTTAGAAACCTGACGAGGCTTAAGCTTGTATGCCCGCGTCTTTTGGATTCGATACGCCTTCCCGGGTTTATTTTCTCCGTATCGCTTGAACTGCGACAAGGGCAACGTCTTCTTCAAATCCTGAAACTGTTCTGAAATAGTAGTGCTGATCATTTCCCTCATTTTCGACATGTCAATGTTATGGTCTTCGATTCTCACGCCACGTGACCATTGCCTGGGGTTCATCATTTAGCCAAACCTCCTCTATGTAACTAATGGAATAGAACAAGGAGGCAAGAGGGCGATGAGGAATAAAATTACAGAACTCACGTGAACTGCAGTGTGTTTTCGAGCAGAACAATAATCTTGATAAGGGAATCAAATTCAGACTGCAATCTATGCAATTCCACCTTTCCATAAGGCACTTCGGAGTCCGCGAAAAGAATTACCCCGATGACTGCTGTGACGCTTAAATCTCTCTTTGATTTATCTCATCGTATAGTATCAGGTCGTACATTTTTCCTCGAGTAAGACGTAAAGCTCTTTGTTCAGTTCCGGGATATCTTCATGAAATGACGCTCCTTTAAGCCCATCCAGTATCTTTTTCAAGCCAGAGACCAGCTTCTCCATAGAGCTCTCATCCTGTAACAACTGCTTCATCTCGCTGATACTTTCTTTCCCTTTCCTTACAAGGCCCCAAACTGGGAACAGTAGGCTCGGTATTCCAAGAGCGTACTCCATGATATGAATCGTATCGAAGAACACTAAAATCTCAGCAGAAGGATCAGTTTTTCTCTTCAGAACCGATGCAATAGAGAGGTCGGCTTATATCAGGTGTCTAGCAAGGAGGAAATCAAACGACAGGAAAGAGACGAATGAACTGGAGACTACGAGTCTCTTATAGCGACTCTGCGGCTCATTCAGACAGGCATAGCCCCCTTTCCATCGCGGGGATATACCAATTTGGGCAATAAAGAAAGAGACCGATGCGTCCCCGATACAAGGAGTGAACGAATCAGCTCAGGACACAATTCAATCGGCTTATGCAATAGTCCAAAAGGGGAAAGAAGACGGCTGTGCATGAGCCTGTCCGCGCCGGAACCCCTAAAACATTGTGGTAAACAATACACTGTGCTGCCTGGGCGGCTAATAAAGCCTGGGCGGTGGTTACGGTTACGATATACTCATCAGGTGGCAGAATATGGCCTCGACAAGGGGAATCCCTGATCTGTCCAGTCACGGCCGGAATCGCACTGGCCGGCGGCAGTTTGAACCGCCTATAAAATTTATGACTAGAGAGCAGGTACCATGGTCAACCTGTTATGGGCATCCCAGCTTAGCGTAGCTAGAGAACATTATCAGTAAAAGAAAGGAAGGCAGAGGGAGCTGCCACATCTACTTAGACGGATACTTCTACCCTTTCGTCTCCTGGAGATCGTCAAAGTTCTCAGAACAGTGCTACGTGTACCAGACTTAGAATCATTTTCCAAAACGTTCGTAAAAAAGCATGCCACAAGTTGATTCATATTCAAATCTGCTTCTGCTAATGAGTATACAGTAACAGTTCAAGGTACCAACCCCGCACTGAGTTGGCTTCCTGAGCCTTCGTATAAATACCACAAGTAGTCTGATGCCCGCTTGTTTCCTTGTGGAACCATTGCTACTCTGTCCAAGTCGGTCAAGAAAGTCAAGACGTATGAAGACGAACACTATTGGAAAATAGTCCCCGAAGCGTTGCATCATGGTAACTCAGACAACCCAATACCATCACTACATCCCCCAGTTCCTGAAGCGATTCGAGCATACGAGAGCCAAAAACAAGAAGTAAGAATGATCGGACCATTACCCAGGTTACCATCTAAGGGGGATATCGATTCATAGAGCATGGAATTGTACATGTTTTCGACCTCGTCAGTGAGCAATTCTGGCTCAAAGAAGTTGCAAGGACCTGCGGCACCCAAAACCTATACTACAACGCGAAGGATACAAACCCGATGAGGATAGAGCATCTGTTCAGTAAGCTAGAGTCGAAGACCAGCGAAATATTCAAAGGTTACAGATGCTGTCAGCAACGGTGTTGACCATATCGATATCCTTGAGAAGGACGTTCATATTCTCTTCCAGTTCATGAATCTGTCCCTTAGGCGGTCGGAGTGGTACAGAGACGAAGTCAAGAATCTTTACCGTGAGAACGACTTTTTCTTCCAGCGACAGTTTGAAGCGTCCAGAAAGAGTGGTCGGTCCGACGAACCAGAGCAATTCTGGCTCGAGCAGTTGCTGTATCTTTTGGAAACAAGCCACGAGGGCATCCTAGAAGATGCTAGAAGTGCAGATAAAAACGCTGCAGCGTCCACATATATTCACTTTGTCGAGAATTACACCCTTCAGATCTGGAAAGCGGCCGACGGTTACGAATACTTTCTTAACGACAGGCTGGTTGATTTTGAGGGTGATACGCAATCATGCCTCGGTACAGAGATGAAAGGAGAAAGATGCCAACTTATATGGATGACTAGTGAAGACTTGATACATCTTATCCTTCCTGTTAGTCCGGAAGTTGCCATTATATTCTGCAAGGAGTCACGATGCTGGGAGTCACCGTTTGCAGATGCTATGCACCAGGCCAAAGTGCCTTACCCGGAGAATTCTTTGCTGAAAAATGCACCACATAAGGACATCGTCAGTGTCGATGTGCCAAGCAGGCAGAGAGGGAAGAAGAAATGGCCCGCAACGATTGCCTGGAGGGTAAACATTGGAGCTCTGAGTCGAGAGCAGCATCGAATCATCGCTTCTTACTCACTCAGTCATGCTCAGTTACTGATTGTAGTCCGAAGCAGAGCGCGATTCGAGAAAGCTAAGCGGGAACTGGAGTTGTTCTCGCGAGAGAGGATGCAACATTGGAGTAACCTTGGAATTCGATCCAGCTACAAGGGTAGCCAGCAGCAGTCTCATGAGCCGGCTCTACGACCTGTCTCGGCGGAAGCGAGTATAAAATCAGTTGAGGAATTTATGTCTGCTATGTACGAGATGCTTGAAATCAAAGACGTCTCGCACGAGATCCCATCAATGACCAAGAGAAATGCGTTCAGATTATGGGTGACAATTGACACTCTTGAACTTTTAGCCGAGAGAACAACTCCTTCAGTGGGTTCAGAAAATGGTTGCCCTGCCAGTCGCATCATGCATCCAGCACTCAAAGCTGCATTTGAAGCTACATACCCGCCAAAACATCCCAACCACAGAGATCTTAACAATGTCAACTTCGCGAAATTCCTCGACGAGTGCATCGGGGAAGAGACGTTTCGCCTGCTTTCTCTCGAAATAGAAAGGAAAATTTCGGAACTAGTCTCGGCAAATAGCTTCAAAGCTCATTTTGAAGCCTACAAAAAGACATTACCACCTTACGACGATCCTTTAGTTCAACAACACGGAGACGATGCAGGTGACCAGTCTAATGATTTGAAAGACGACATCCTGAGAAGCCCACACTTCCAATCGATTATAAAAGTGGCAGAAATTTTCGACGTTCTAAAATGGATGTTCGATGAACGACAGGACATCTTAGCAACTTTTGTGCGGCAGATTGCGGTGCCTATGGATGATACAAGGCCGCGTGTTGTCCGGTTTCGTGGAAGGCGCCAATAGTCCAGGAAGAGTCGTTCGTTTTACACCAGGTTATTGGTGGAAGGGAAGAAATGGGTGAAAGTAGTAAAATATCTTTCATAGTGGAAAAATTAGACGACACGGGAGTAGCCATTCGAAGAGGTCTTCAAAAGTAAGCCATGATCTGCGAGTAGATGGTACTGCCGAGAGTCAGAGTGTGTGGAAGCTTGGAGCAATTGAGAAGCATTCTGCTGCGGGTGGTCCCGCTCGCATACTTCGACCGTGGTTCGCGGGGACAGAGTCTGGTTGCTTAGAATCTGACTGTCATCCAGAGGCATGATATACCAGAAATTAAGAAGTGGCTGGCCATCCACAAAGGCACATATAACATTGACTCATGTTTGCTCTTCTGCGCACTGTGGACCGACGTTTTGTTCCGCAGTCATATTGTAGAACTCACGTCTATCGAACCTGTTCACTAATATTGCTTGTCTGGACGCCTTTTAATTGAGTCGTTTTACGGTTGACAGAGCCATGGCATAGCCAATAGACAACCACCTGAATGATGCAGGCGATACGCCTTGGAGTATGCCTGGTATTGCGGCGCAGCGTCTGCCGCAGCTCTTACATCACAAACGACTATAGACGAGACGTTTATAAATAGGCATCCATTCTCCTCTTTTCTCCGTCTTCTCTGCTCCATCTTCCATCTCCTGTGCCCCTACTTCCCTCTTCAACACTCTCCATTCTATCCACATTCACCCAATACACCCCTGCATTTTCCATTGATCAACCATGGCCATGTCTCACATGTCACTAGATGAGAGAGCTGACTTTGTCGAGGATATTATCCATTATGACTTCACCAATCGTGCAGTTCTCTACGAAGCTCTCCGTAGCGCCGGCGCGCTTGCTCTGACCGGACGAGCACATCGTTCCGACGGCAACAAGGACCTGGCGCAAATCGGCGATGCGGTCCTGCAGCTGATCCTCGTGACGGACGGGTACGAAGCCAGAGCCAGTCGAGGTTTGTTGCGCCTCACAAATGTTCCTGAGATGAACTACTAATCGAATCACAGGCTACATCAACCAGGTGGTCTCATCGATGGCCAGCAACCCCCATCTCGCACAGATGGGCTCCAAGGCCGGACTGGAGAATCTCATTCTCATCAATCCGTCTCAAGCCAGCGTGTCCCCTGGAGTGATGGCTCAAACAGTGGAGGCTATCCTCGGCGCCGTCTATCTCGATAGCGAGATGGACGTCCAGGCCGTCCGGGCCGTCATGGCGATCCTGAACCTGGGGTGGCCAGTGTGAATTTATCTCTGCGCGTGAACGAAGCGAATACGAGTTTACGTGACTCGATATCTGTTACCTACCGCAAGGGCGCCCCTGGGCCTCCTCGCGCGGGACCGGCATCGGATTGCCCGATGGCGTGGACAGCTTTCCAGGACCAGACTAAATGCTTGCTCAGTAGGGGTGAGGTCCTTCTTGGCTATCCATGCACGTTGTAATCCGCTGTTGGCCCTGTACGAGGGGGCCTTCGGGTGCCCTTGCGGTCCTGGAACGTCTGAGAGCCATGAAAGGCGTTATTCGCTGTGGCGGGTTTGCAGTTTTGCGGACAGACGTGATATGGCGTTGTTGTGTGGCGAAGGGGGAAGACTGATTGGTGCAGAGTGAGCAAGTGTCAGTTGTGCAAGTAGTTGATAGTTGTAAGGAGTCTTTTGCTTGATGGAAGACGATGGCTAATCTGGGATTATATTTTATTTGCAGCACTTTGTAGCGCACTGACAGGCTCGGCATCAAACATGCTGACAGTAGCAGGGATAGACACACCAGTATTTATGCGTAAGACGCATGTGGCAGCGCTTCCATAGCTGATTGGCGTCAAGGCATCTCACATGATCTTTTAAGAACCTACAATCGCATCCTAGATAAAGTCGTACTAACAGGATTCAAAAGAAGTGTTTCTGGCTGATGCACCAGAAGCCCATTTTATATTTTGAAAAGTGATATTATATATTGTAAAATGAGTGGTATAGCACAGGAAAACACTGTCCTTGACTAGGAGCTGCAACAATGAGAGAAACTAAAAGCAACGCTCAAATTGAATGACTGTATCAGTAGACCGCAAGACCCAGCTCACGTTGTCATCTACTGAGTGTAGACACAGCTGTTGGGGTTGGCAACATCCTCGACACGAGCAGCGATGCCGACGCAGTCCTTGTTGCCGGCGGGGTTGGCAACACCGGCATCGGCCCAGATGCTCCAGGCACCGTCGATGCTGTTGGGGCAAGCGATCAAGTCCTTGCCCTGGAACTGGAGGTGGTTCTGTTCGTCGATGGCCCAGCCCTGGCGCTCGGAGTTCTTGGGGGCTGGCTGAGCGCCGGTGGTGTAGCCGATCTTGCCCTGGCCTGTAGAGTTCCTGTCAGTTTCTGCTTCTTTTTCCATGTTTGATGGTGTTGGATGTGACTTACCCATGCCGGAGCGGTCGACAAAGACCTCCTGGGGAGTAGCAGAGGCGGCATAGAGGTACAGGGCACCATCCTGGATGTAGAAGGTGGCGCTCTTCTCGTCGGGGCGGTCGCAGCTGGCGTTCTGGGAGTTGAGGCCAGCGAAGATGCTGCTCTTCGCAGCGCTAAAGGGCTGGTACTGGACGGCACTGCCAGAGTGGATGGCGACAACGCCGAAGTACTTGTTGGTAGGGGCCGAGCAGGCGGCGGCGGAGGCAGTGGCAGCGGCCGAAGCGGCAAGGACGAAGCTCTTGATCTGCATTTTGTGTGGATTGTAGGGTGTGTGAGAACGAGTGATTTAGAACGAGTCTTTGAGTTTGGAACGGGCTGTGAGTGATTGATTTGTTGTTGATGGTGAATGTCAGGGCCAAGGGTAGCATTGAGCCTTTTATAGCTTCAAGGAGGTCCTCGGCATCCGAGGGTTGCCATAATGCAACATGAATACAAGGATACGAGGTAGTGACTGCGCCAACATCGCCAAGCAACTGTCTAAGACATGCAGCCTATTCATCGCTGGACATGTGGTCATACCTTCTGTGCTCCATTAGCCAATGGCTATATTTGGTTCTTCAGATGACTTCAATAGTGGGTCCGCTCCTTGAAATATGGGGAAATTTATCTCAGTTAATCTGATGCTGTGGGTCTCTGGTCCGCGAGATAATATTGAGGTTATTCATACTCTATTATTATTGTTACCTCATCCTGATATAGATCTAACATTCTCGAGCAAAACACACAGAATAGGACTGTTGCACCTTGAAGACATCTCTTTTATCTCTTTAACTCCCTGAATCTCCCAAGGTACGTAGTGGCATGATCGACGTTGACAGTAGTGGCAATACGTTGCGGACCCTGCTATTCTTTAACTCCACATGTTTCTCCGTGCTCCCCACAAAGGGAGACTCAGACCCAATCAGAAATCACGGAATTGATTACTCCTAAGACATCGGCTTGGGGTTGGGACGGGGTTACCGGGAGATGCCCTAAGTGGCTAATGCCCTCTCCGTGCCCAGGCAGCGCAATTAATAGACTAGAAGTTTCCTTCTCCCCAGAAATCGATCACTACTGTAGAAACTGTGGAATGAGCTGGCGCTAGAACAGGTCTAATAATTAAACTTGACTACCTGGGCCACAGGCCATACCGCCACTCCGAAAATAGGGGTCAATGGAAGCCCCAACGTTGTACCGACTACCGAAGCCTCCCCCGAGAGAGAGACATCCTACTGATCCTAGTTATGCACTAAATACACTACGCGCTGATCACCAGCTATAGTGTACATTTAGTCCTTCGACCTCATCTTAACGTCAGTCGACGAAACGGAAATAATAACTAAAAAGGGAGTCAGAAGGTGTCTCATCTAATTATTTACATAATGGTTATGTCAGTTTAACGTTCTCTCCATCAGTACTGCTGTATGCCGTCTTAGCTTCTCTTACACGTCACGACCTCGTGCATATGCCGCAGAAGGAAGTGCTATGCAACTCTGAAGAGATGGTAGCCGATGACCATAATGACTCCAGAGAGCTAGCGACTTTGGGCGACAAATGCATTCATCTTCCTACTCTGGTTCAACAACATTACACACTAACGATGACTATCTCCCTGAATAGGTGCAAAACTGCACCAAGAGAGCTATTTTTGTCTCAGGCGATGTCTGAAATACAGTACTTATGATGTAACTGCTGAAATGTACCCATAGTGCTGGTTTACTGGAAGGCTAAGTTGCACGTGGTCATAACACCCTCCTGGTACCATAGTTATGCTCAGTAGGACATCCGTAGACCCCCGTAGGACCCCGGCAGACCATCCGAGACGCCGATGTTGATCATACCTTGGAGGACTTAAATTTCAGGTTGCTGGATCGCCGGGTGTGGGCTTTGTCGACTCTTGTTGCTGTCCTTTGGTGATTCAGTTCTGAGATGCATATGCACCTTTCTCCGCGGGGCATTCTTCCCGCTTCCGTTGAAACCAGGGGACAAATTGTCTGTACATCCATTGACAGCAGCGATCCCCCTTTCCTTCAGACAACGCGACGAAATCCCACTCTCTCTCTCTCTTCACTCCTAGATCCATTTCGTAAGGCATTCCTACAACCAATGTTGCCTCACGATCACTTTGGCCAGCTATTCTCGATAGATGCCTATGTCTAATCGCACAGAGGTTTGAGGATTGAATATGCGTTTATTATAAAAGCACACTGGCTCTACTAAAGTGAGGTGTTTCGTCTACGCAATCTCACTTTCCGAAGATCCGAGATGGCTCGCTACACATATGGAAACGTTCGCGGATCCTGAGACTCAGCTGCTGTCCTGGTTATCTATCATGGGCAGCCATCAGCGAGACTTCAGATACCACAAGGAAGAGATATATTTCTTTGGTTTCATAGAGAGTATCATTTGTACTTTGGTCAAAGTTACTGGTGTACGGAGGTGCATAGGTTCTTATAACAGCTGCATCCAGATATAAGACTACCCCCTCTCCGCCGTTCTTTGATCGCAACCCGACATCATAACCAGTGGCCAAAGTACAAATTATCCTTTTGGAGGACCTTTGTCTGAGGTAGAAACCATGGATGGGTACTTGAATCAGCTTCTGTTGCTCCGTACACCGGTCAGCCCTTTTCCAGAAGGCATGACAGGATATTACAGGATATAAGTTCTATTTTCCGTGCTCGCAGCTTCTGGCTTTCCCATGAAATCTTTTGTCCCTTCATTGGATTCCTTTTTTTGGATGTTCCTGTCTTGACAAAGATGCATCAGCACCAACCGCCCTTCTTGAACCAGACTCTTCGGTAGAGCTGTGAAGAACTCACTTCTATAAGAGCAATTCATCGTTGACAAACTCAAAGTCTCGTTCTCCAAAGGGCCTCTGATCCCTCCCGTCAAATCATTGCGCATTTGTCTGAGGCTGAAGGAATGGGGTGGCACTGTCAGAAGGCTTCAGGATTACATTGCATAATTCAAGCGAGGCACGCCATCTTCAGACGATCAGGATGACATGCAGACGCGGTGGCCTCTTTATAAATTCAGGAGCCTTTCAACGGCTATGTAAACCATAACCTAAGCCAAACTGCAACTCAAATTTTGGAGAATTGTATCTAAACGCCGATGGCTGTAGAGATAGGGCCGCAATCCGTGAAGTCGGGTCGCACAGATCTCCCGGAATATGCAGACGAGCTGTGATATGTCCTACGGGGTTGTTGCTATTCCAACTAATAGACCTGCTGTGTAATAGATCTCAAATTAAGAATAGCATTGGCCCTACTGGTCGGCTACCGGAAAGGTTGTATTTACAGGTTTTTGAGAGCTGCGCCAGATCCTATTCGAGCTCCGAACGGTGCCGACTACAGAAAACTTGGATATCTGTAGGGATTTCTTAACGGACTGTTCACTGTCCCTATGGTTTAATGCATCATCGGGCTAATATATCAGTATATGTTTTAACGCGGGTGACAGCTCATGTTTTGTTGACCTGGGTTCTTGCGGCTTCAGGTACAAGGAGATATATATCTTTTGGCCGGACATTGATCTACTGAGGTTCATAGCGACGTAAACCGAAAATCACGTTCGAAAATTAGCATACAACAGGAAACTATCATATTAAGAAACTGCTACATCAATAAACAAAGCAAGTTCACGATAATGAAGACTGAGTATGTAGATAATATTCTGAACAGATGTTGTTGAAGGTTCGGAATTCTCATTTGGCACATGTAGCAAAATATGGAAACATGCCTACAACAAGGCCTGCTGGCCCAATGGTAAGGCGCTTGACTACGGATCAAGAGATTGCAGGTTCGAATCCTGCGTAGGTCATTTTTTTGATTTTCACCCACCTCTTTTTTTTTTGTTCCCTGCGGTTGCCGGCTCCCCAAATAGTGGGTATTCTAACCAGAACGAGAACTAAATTAATAAGCGGCTGGCACTATGTCTGGATTATGTCTCAACGCCTTTCTCCATAAGTGCTCAGAAAATGTGATGTCATTCCACATTGTCGGTCGGATCGCGATACGGCACAGTCGGCGAAGGTGACTACAGGTCAACCGACCTTTACTAAGGAGTTCGGCTAATCGATGTGGGTCAGCCGACCTTATAAAATTACCACATTTGTAATATTTTTTGACCTTTTACCTATCTTTTTAAACTAGTTCTAAACTAGTTAAGGATCTTATATAATATCTTTTATCTTTCTGTTAAGAACTAAAAGATATAAAAAATATTAAGTAGATAAAATCCTAAACTAGTTACTAACTAGTTAGATAAAAATACGCCTTAGATATAGGTAGTATTAGAAACAGTATGGTATTGTATTAAGCTAAGCTGACCTTATAAAATCACATGATTTTCAGTCACATGATGCCTATTTGATGTTCCGACCTATCTTGGCACCAGCCGAACTTATCCGAAAGGTCGGCTGAACTGTATCCTGTCGGCGAAGAAACGACCACAGGTCCATCGTGCCAATGAACATTCCCTGATTAGAGGCCGTCTAGATACATCTCTGTGAACCATGTACTAATTGAGCAGCTCCTGGCTAGCTACAAACGTCCGATCAATGTCTCAAAATGTGGCTGAAGTCCAAAAGGGAGACAACGCCGTTCCCGCCCTCGGCGTCCATCTGCATCTTCATCATATCATCCCCTTTCTGCCCCCCAGGTCCAGTTTAGTTTTAAGTACCTGCTTGCTAATCATGCGCATCTGCATCAGCATTAAGTTATTTCTACAATGCTTAATAACATTATGCTTCTCCACCGCGTACATGAGATTGCTCTAGTTTGCGGAATCCATGCTGTACCAGACGCACCCCTCTGCTTTAGCTAGATTGGGGATTGTGTTAATGTGCTTTAGGAACTGGCAGAAGCCAGTGCATCCGCCATTAGTCGCCCTGCCATAGATACTATCTGTGTGAATATCCCCTGTAAATATATAGTCATCGCCTAGCGCTAGATGGTAGGTGTTGATTAGTAACTTGTAGGTATCCTTTTCAGTGCAGTTATAGAGCCAGGTCTTTGCGGAGGTGATAGAATAGCTTCAGAAAGCTAACCTCCAGAGCTTTAGTAAATTGGGTGGCGTTAGTGTTAGTTACAGACTGGTTGCCAGAGCCAGAGTTTGCCTGAGCATCGCTGGCGCGGACTTTCTTGTGAGCTTTCTAGTCAGCTTTCTGGCAGTCGCAGGACCAGTAGCAGCTGATTTACAGCAGTAGCAGTTCCTTAAGGGAGCACTTTCAGATTCTGCCTTTTTGCAGCTCCGGCATTCGCGTGTCTCGGTGGGATTGGAGTCAGGCATGATTCGTGACTGTAGTAGATCTATTGAGAATCTTGTAGAGGATGAGATGAACCTTTTCTGCTGCTTGATGATGAAAAACTTGAAGAAGGGGAGCTGCTTATTGTGAACTTTCTGGTAGATGGAAGGAAGAGGTAGAGTAGCGGTGAATGCGACTCTTTTACTACTTAGCATTGCAGCATGTTGACTTCTGTAGGTAGAGAATGATCAGTGTATTCACTGCAGATGATTTGAGCAGCGGTGTACTTAACAGGAATACAATTGTTATGGTATGATGGCAGACTCAGGAAGTCTACACAGCACCGTTCCATGGGACCAGACAACCCCAATTATGCTGTGGAAGTAACTCGGCTCCATCTAGATAAGAAGCCGAACCAAAACAAGCCAAACATATCAAAGATTGAAGCCAAAAAAAAAAAAAAAAATAGAAAAATAGAAAAAAGATACAGCAGTATTGATATGCTGAGGTTCCACCTTTTGGTATATAACTATAATTCTATTTCCTGTAGTCAAGTATAAGGCTAGGCTCCGGCCATAGATAATATTCCACTAATATAAATAGGAGTTACAGATCAAGTATAGAGAGTGAGTTGACTGGACCTGTAGTCACTGGAGACAACAGCCAGTTCTTCTCATAATATTGAGTCAATCTAATTGACATTTAGTACTCGAACCCTTGGTGAGAATATAGCCCCAGATGCATCTTCGAAGTCAGGCTAATCTAGCGATATGATCTAGGTCAGCCTAGATCACCATTAACTGATTAACGAGCCTGTTAGACTAAAAGATATCTTTGGAGGTACGATAAGCCGGTACATTCCAGCATTAGCTCATCGAATAATGTCTCAAAAGGAGTCTCATTGTTTGTTTGGGGGCTGAATAGCCAGAGCCATTGCAGCCACAGCTTGTGGTTCCTGGCCTCCGGAGGGATGCACGGAGAATTCAGAATCAATATATACCAGACAAGACGAATGAATACTGCTGACCTAGACGACTTTTTCCGGGGATGTTCGGTTGAAAGTCGAGGAAAAGAATGTCAGTGCGGACCTCGGCCTCACCGACGTGCTTTTTGCTTTTGCAAGGCTGCGCTGAATCTCACCCTGGCAACATTAGTCTTGTCTTGGCTAGTCCGACAGAAGTCTCCATGGCATAATCGAGGAAAGTTCTTTTTTTCCTTCCTACCATGCGGGTTTACTGGAAGTGGCTTCGCCCTACACAGATTCCGCCATCGAACGAAGATGCAACGTTCTCCGTATTCGAATGATGCTTATACGGTCGGGTGGATATCCGCGTCCCACGACGAGTTCGTCGTGGGTATGGCGGTGCTGGATGAGGAGCATGGGAGGCCTCAATCCACACCTGCGGATGACACCAACGCGTATCACTTGGGCCGCTTGAGCGAGCACAATGTCGTAATGGCTTGTCTGTCTGGAGGTCAAATGGGCACGGGTCCTGCCGCCATCGTTGCTGAAAACATGCGCCGTACATTTAAAAATATCCGATTTGCGCTGCTGGTGGGCATTGGAGGCGGTGTTCCAGCAAAGACCAAGGATATCCGCCTGGGTGACGTCGTGGTGAGTTACCCGACCGGCATATACACTGGGATAGTCCAGTACGACTATGGCAAGCTCAAACGAAATGGCGAAGTGGAGCGGAAAGACTGGTTTTGTGCACCACCTCGCAAGATCCTGGCCGCTGTCGATCTTGTGAAGGCATACCATATGAGACCAAAGAATCCGATGAACAATATGTCGCACTTTATTGAGAGGTTGGGTGAAGAGTACGCTTATCCCGGGCAGAACGAAGATTTCCTATATCAAGCAGACTATGACCATAAGTCCGGCTCCGAGAATTGTGATGCCTGCGACGAGTCAGGCCTCATCGCCCGAAATCCTCGCAGCTACCCATGCAGACCGAACGTTCACCACGGCGTCATTGCATCAGGAAGTATGGTTATCAAGAGTGGTGTTGAGCGTGACAGGATCAATCAACGTTATGGGAACTCGATACTCTGCTTCGACATGGAAGCAGCTGGATTGATGAGCAACTTTCCATGTCTTGTTGTCCGAGGAATCAGCGACTATTCCGACTCGCACAAAAATGATAAATGGAGATTCTATGCGGTTGCAACAGCCTCAGCGTATGCAAAAGAGCTTCTTTCACACATTGAGGCGATTGATGTACGCGTTTTGCCCTCCATGAATGAGGCTGAATTGCTGAATGTTGGTATGATCTTACAAGAGTGTTCCCTTGAATTGCCGCTAATCGACACCAACAGTCTCCCAAAGAATAGAAAAGGTGGATAGGAACATTACGGAGAATACTCTCGTCCTCAAGAACGCTGAAGAAGGTGAGCTTAGGTGCTCTCGCTTGGGTGTATCTACTAATCATTGCGCAGACGCTCGAAAAAGAAATCTGTACGATTTGCAAATGCAATGCGAAAGATGGCTGAGACCGCCAAATATGCGGCAAGTCCAGCAGACTAACACCAAAAAAAGGTTACGAGGTACCTGTGGTTGGATCTGGTCGAACACGACATTCGTGAATTGGTACACCCTAGACCCCTCGTCGAACCTAGATGGGATACTCTATGTTTATGGACCTCCGGGTTGCGGTAAAAGCATTCTGGCTTCCTATATCGTGGATTTCATGAGTAAGATCGAAGTGAATTCTTTTCTGTTCGCATTCTCCGGTGCACATGCTAGCCAGCGAAATCTGAGTGACCTGCTCCGTTCCCTTATATGGCAGTTGCTAAGAATCGCGCCTGCCGAAGACGCGATTTCTGTTCTACAGAGCTTAGCGGTGATTGGGCAGCTCACAACGACTGAATTATGGACTGCCTTTGGTACTATGGCCGCACTCGTCTCTGAGCCCGTTTTCTGTATCATCGATGGTATTGACGAGTGTGAGGACACTGCCGGTGAATTAGTTGAGAAGCTCCTCCACTTCTTGACGGACCACTCCAGGTTCCGTTTTATCCTACTTGGCCGGCACCGTGCCTTTCATGCGGTCAATTGCGCTAGGCATACAGTTGAGGTTGAGTCCTCTCTGACAGAACAAGATATCGAGACACTTATTGAAGCTGAGATCTCTCTCAGTGACACGCTCAATGCAGCGAATTTGCGGCATGAAGTCACTATGGCTCTGAAACAGCAAGCTGATGGGAATTTCCTATGGATCAAGTTCATGCTTCGGCATCTTGACAAGTCAGTTGGTGTGGCTGATGCCCTAGAAAGGCTGCATAATTTGCCATACGATCTTCAAACAACCTATGAGCAACTGCTTTTGGGACTTGTCCGCCGGTTGGAACCGTCTGAGATAGATCTTGCTCGAAAGATTCTGTCATTTATCGTTGTTGCTCAACGTCCATTGACTCTCGACGAGTTTCAGCACATGTTGGCTGCGGATGCTCTATCCACGTCTTCACGAAAAGATCAATCAATCGATGACTATCTCATTCCACGCCTGGACCGCAGAGTCTTGGAGGTTTGTGGTGATCTTGTCAGTGTCGCTGATGGCTACGTGCGGCTCATACATTTCTCCGTGAAGGAATTCTTGATCAGGCCCGAGGACGAATGGAGGAAAACCCGAAGTTCACGCAAAATACTAATCTTCCGAGTATTTCCACAGCAATCTCATCAGAGGCTTGCAGATTCATGTATCCAGTATTTTGAAGCTAGCTACTTCAATTCTTTAACAAGTGATTGGAGTACCTTCTCTCAGCTTACTCGGCGATATCACCTCCTGTGCTACATATCTGGATATATGTTTACGCATATTTCTGAGTCTGATATTGATCCTGGATCAGTCGCGTTAAGGGTTATCAGATTCCTAAACTCAGACCTATGTATCACTTGGTTGGAGCATTTTATTGTGGATACTACGGACGATGACTATATGAATTCCTTGGACCTCAAAATTTTCCAATTATTGGAATTTGGATTATGGCTGAGTGAACACTCGCATTCTGGAAGAATTCTGCAGGTTCTTTGCACACGTCTTAACGCGGAACATGAGAAGAGACTGCAACAGTATGGACAAAATGATTCGCGCACTGAGCGGATACGCCTCTTTCTTGGAACGATTCAGAATACATGCGGATTTAGAGACGCTCGGATTATGGGTGCCCGGTACAAGAACACCAGTGTTGCGAATGATTCTTTCGATATCAAACCCATGGTGCAAGTGCTGCAGAAAGAGGGACCCTTTCCTCCCCACTTCGGACTTGACCTCCTGCTTAAGTTGCAAACTTATATCCGACAATTTGAGAAGCTTACTGATCCTCTACAAATGTTATTTCGCGCCATAGTACGGAAGGCCTCGGCTCTTCCTATTCTTGCGCTCCTGCTAGTGGCGATGTTCTACTACCGGGTTGGTAGAGAAGAAGACTGTCTTGAAATCTTGACCGTGGCCCTCGAAAAGGTCAAGGGGAAAGAAGGGCCACTGCAGTTCCTAATCCTAGAGAGCATTGCTAGTGTTTACGACCAGCTTGGGCAACATGAAATGGCATGGGCGCATTGGACCAAAGCCTTGGATGGACTGGAGAAAAAATTGGGACCTGATCATGAAGTTACTCTGTTTACAATATACTTAATAGGCTTCAGATCTTATCGCCTGGGGAAATATACTGATGCGCTGTCTTCTTTCATGACAGTCTTCTCGCGCCATGAGAAGAAGCTACCTAGGCGACAGCTCGATTTCTATCGTCACATCTCCTACGACACGGGCCGAGCCTATGTGAAGCTTCATCAGTATCAGCAAGCATTGCCATTCCTCTCCGCGGCCCTGTCATCATCGAAGAAGCTGTTCGGACAAAAGGAGGTCAACGAACCGCATAAGCTCTTCTATATGGGTATAACGTATTCGGGACTTGGGCAGTACATGGAAGCGCTAGAAGCCCTTCATAAAGCCTTAGGAGGCCTGGAGAAACGCTATGGAGAAGAGCATAGAAATACTCTGTTCGTCCAACGTGCAATCGGTATTGTACATGTGTATCGCGGGGAATATAAAGAAGGGGTTCTATTCCTTTCAAAAGCTTTGTCAGAACTGCTGAAATTCCTGGAGGAAGAGGATAAGAGTATCGTATCAACACTTCATTGGATGGGCGTTGCCTACATGAACGAGCGGCAATATAAGAAAGCGTTGGATATCCTTTCTAGAGCTCTACCAGGCCTACAGATGGTCTATGGACCAGACCATCCTTACACCCTACGCGCAATCAGACTCATAGAAGATGCCGGCTGGGTACACTTCTCATGCAGAACAGAACTGAGGTAGCATTTTTGTCAACTCTACTTACAGGACAGAGGCCGGATAATGCCAGGGGACTGAGAGCAGCTCGCATGCGGTCATGATGGAGGCTCTGGACCAGCGAAGATGCAAGTGACCAGGATGGAAACATTATCAGGACATTGTCCGTCATCAAAGAAGTACCACATATGATGTCCTTGGTTATCTGCATGATCACACCAATCAAGGTGACTACTGTCCCTCAACAACTGACACCCGCTATGGCCTGGCGCCTGATTTTCGGGTCAACTGCAAGTACAAAAATGAAGCTATAGAGATGCGACTAAGGATGGGTCTACAGAGGAGTTGAAAAAGAAATGATCCTGTTCAGATGACAGTGACCTTCGTCGCTGAAGTGTATGATTTGCGTACTTAAGTATAAGCTAGGAGTTTAGCGTTAGGGGATGATATTTTGACTTTGCCATGACTGGAGTTGACTCCTCGAAGGGGAGACAGAAATGGTGTAACCTAGTTACATTAACTACCTTATAGGTTGTTTTTAGTGAAGCTGAAACCCATATAAGTGGAGTTGTGGTTGGCTTATAAGTCAGTGTAACCTGCCCCATGCTACCACGTTCAAAGTTACCACCAAGTTATTTACCCAATAGAGTAGTCCGTAGTATTAAGAGATATTGAGGAGATGCCGTCCCAGATTGTGCAAGGCCAGTGACCGGGTGACCACTACCCCTGATATCAGCAGGCTACCTTTCTTATATCTTAGGGTCACATGGTTCGGTACTTGGCACCTACTCTTCCACGGCATTTGTCGAGGAGAACATTCAGGTGTTTCGGCATCTGAACCCCGATGTGCTCTGACGCGCGCAGCGACCAGTCGGTGTTTGTGTTTCTTCGCTCTGACTTTCTCTCTAGGTTGCAATAAGATTAATTAGCCTCAGCCTTCCCCACTCCTGCAATCATGCCGACGTTCTCAATTTCGTCAGGCGCTGAGTGGCGGCCACGAGTCGCTAGGATTCTATGGGGAATTCTTAAATAACCTAGGTAGTCGTAGGAATTCTAGTATTACTTCTGCCATTATGCCGGGGCCACGCGGCACTGCTCGTGGGCATGGAGTTTTCCACCTAATCTCTGGGATATGCCGCCATGAGTCTTGAGGTGTAAATGTAAAAGAAAATATACCCTATGTCGTCTGCCTCTTGGTTGATTGACTTGGCTTCGTCCCAGAATACATGGATGTATGATGATAGGGCGGAATCAGTATCTACTCATTCAATGGCCGCCTCAGGAGCCATCAGCTGGCCCAAACCGATAGCACGATGGGATAGAAGCCGTTGTTGAGTAGCTTTCCTTACTCTGCCTGCCTGTTGGGTAGCATCGTCGTTTTGCAGTATTAATATATTATGACGCCCATGATAACATCATCTGCCACAGTCAGCCTGAACACCTGTATTTGAGGTCCCTCGCCAGGCTTTTGAGGAAGGTACTATATAAACAATCTCCGCTGTGGCCAGTCTTGTTCTGCCGACCCTGTTTCGTTGATCCTCTGGCTACTGTACGTATCCTGAATATCCTCATCTTCCCATATTGTACATACACACCTGCTTCGGCCTTGCACCATCCCCTTCCTTACAAATGCGCTGCCAATATTCATGTTTCCTCCCAGCCCTGGCCTCTTTGGTCTCGGCCTGGGTGCCCCCTTCGTACTCAGGGTACACGCTACAGTGGAGCGATAACTTCGCCGGCTCGGCGGGGACACTTCCCAACTCTAACAATTGGAACATAATCACAGGGAACCCGGGGGTGAATGGCGAGTTGGAGACGTACACCAGTTCGAACAGGAACGTTCAGCTCAGCGGCGGTAACACTCTGCAGCTAGTGCCTTGGAAAGACAGTTCCGTGTCCGGGGGGTGGACATCAGGCCGGCTCGAGAGCAAGTACGTCTTCACACCTAGCGCAGGGAAGATCACGCTCGCCGAGGCCGATATCCGGTTTGGCACCAACCCTACCTCTGCCAAACAGGGAATCTGGCCGGCTTTCTGGATCCTGGGCAACTCGATCCGCTCAGGAACCGCATGGCCTGGGTGCGGTGAACTTGACATCCTCGAGACTATCAATGGCCAGTTGACGGGCTACGGCACCGCCCACTGCAACGTCTATCCCGGCGGTATCTGCAACGAGCCCAATGGCCGCGGGGGAAGCATCGCGATCCCTGATCAGTCGTGGCATACTTGGCGCATCGTCTGGGACCGCACCCCCTCTACCTGGCAGTCCGAGACCATTACGTGGTACATGGACGGCCAGTTGTTCCACCGGATCACCGGTTCTCAGATTGGCGACTCGAACGTTTGGGCCTCGCTGTGTCATGACCCTCTGTACTTCATCCTCAACGTGGCTGTTGGCGGCACCTGGGTATGTTTAGAGATTCTCCCTAAATTGTGCATTTTTGCGAATGTGTAGAAGGTAGAGTGCTGACGTGAAGTATCTTTAACCCCTATAGCCTGGTTATCCTAACTCAGCCACCCTCGACGGTTACGGCAGCATGATGGAGATCGCTTATGTTGCCGTCTATACGTCTTGAAACTTATTGTCTTTATGTTCGTGGTAGCACACGATTACCTTTAGGGTCCCAGCCAGTCTGTACATACCCACTTTTATATTGGCCACTAACTTGTTTTATTGCATTGTTTTTTGAACATATCCACATATGCTCGCTTTTGTATGTACCACGCTCGTTTTATCATAACGATTACAAATTCGTGTCACCCATTGGGCGAGGCAGCCTGGCGATATGAACTAGGACTATTGTATGAGATATCGCTAGACTGGGTTCTATCTTCCAATTTGAAGCAGCTTCCGTTTGGATGCGTATATGCGGGTCACTCTGGAAAAGGTACCATCTCGGTATCTTTTATAAACAATCAACATAGCTGGTACTTGCGGCTTCTCAATTTGACATTTCCCCAATCTGCTGATGACATATGCGTGAGCACCCTCCTCTAACCTTGATAGCTTGGCTGAGATCTGCCCGTGGCTCGGCGAATCCCCCCTCCACAGTTTGGAGTTCCCTCGGGGATGAGACTCGATGCAACCGGAACATGCCCTGCTCCAGCCAGGATTAGCGACGACTCGATCACGACGTCTTTCCACGGTTTCCACGTCGGAGAATAAGTCCTGCGATCACGAAAGTGGCTTCCATTACCCCTCAGACCCATAATGCTATCAAAGCGCCTGCTGGAAATTCTCTTGAATCACTTTCAAAGCTAAAGCAATATCGGGAGAAATATGCTAATCTCATGTATTTCTCCGGTATGTGTTGCATCAACTTTGGCGTTCCGGGTCCTGAGACACAGATATCAGTTATGCCTTGGGAGGGAAGGTTGGGTGGGTTAGTAGCTTCTGCAGTTGGCTACTTAGAAATCATTAAGACGCCATGGATAAACCTTTAAACTGTCAAAAATAGTTATAGGCTTGTAGAGAGAAAAAGTGTAGAGCTGCGCGAAACTTAGTTTGGAAATGTGCCAAGAACTGACACCAATTTGAAGACGCTAGATGGACAGGGGGAAGAAATGTTTACCCACATCGCGCGATAACTCATCTTATCCTGCTGGGCTAAGCCACTGGAAAAGGGGCGCAGCCCTGGTACCATCAGTACATATATTCCTCCTAATCCGCTGCTGCCAGTGCCATATCCAAGGTTTTTCCAACCTCACCGGGCTCGCATAATGGCGGAAGACCACTTGCGAACGCTACGGCGTTTGATGAAGCGATACAACATTCGGTTTTTGCGACTAGACGAGGGGGTGCCCGAACTTCATGCGGAAACATTCAATAACATCAAGAAATTGGGGAATTATCAGTTTGATGTCTATTCGGCTGGTGTAAATATTTGGTCATCCAAAGAACCTTGGAAGCAGCAGATCAAAGCCCGTGCCGAGTGGCTTTGCCAGCGCGCTGAACGTTTGTTTGGTCAGGAGCGCAACGAAGCAGGCTGGCGGTTTGGGCTGGAAAATCATATCCTAGGGAGATTCTTAGCTGAAGTTGCTTGGTGAGTACTGTTATATTAGGGGTTATGGGCCAACAGGGCTAGCGTAGTAGTGGGAAGAATTTGGGCAACCTTGGAATGAAGCACTCTGCTAATCCTTAGTAGTTCAAGATGCCGGGCGAGGATCTGGCAGTCTGAGATAGAGGCTACATTGAGCAACAACCAAATTGAGCATGCGCGAGAACTTGAGGAACGCAGAAAACGGAGAAGGCCTTGTCAATGTCCTCCTAACGAGCGAATTAAAGACTTGTGAGATAAGCTTTCTTAATCTATGCCTGGAAGTACACTGACATCTACAGCTACGAAATTGGAACAAATCCCCTCTTCGATGACCGAGCCCAGGAGTTTGTTGTATATGATGAGCTTCTCAGATCACAGCTCCCTAAACAAGGTCCTGATCGGGTCCTGGGCTTGCAGAATACTAGGAATCTGGATAGTTTGTTACAGAGCCCCGTTCGACCAGATCTCGCCAAGCAGCAAGACGATATTGTCTCAGACATCCTTAAAACTACGCCCTTCAAAAGTCAAGCTGATCCGCTACTCTTCCCCTTTTTGCTCTTAGAAGCAAAGTCCGAAACGAGTTCCAGTGGATTTGATGCCATCCAGGTGCAGTCAGCGTTCCCGATTTACGCGCTTTTGAAGCTTCAAGAAGAATTGCGGTCCTACGTGGATTGGTCGCCAGGAGAAGAACGCTTTGAGCCTTTGGTGTGGTTTCTGGCCTCTCGCGGGGATCAATGGAAAGTGTATGGGGCACATCTTGACAAGGGAGCCGATGGGGATCCTACAAGATATGTGAGTTACAATGACTGTCGAAATCCTGGCGACAATCCTAGAATCCCACAATACATCCTTTCATGCGGCCCAACTAATTCAGCGGCAAGGGTATAACACTACTCTGGTCGGGATCGCTCTTGCACAAAGACGACGCGTTGCAGCTATTGCTTATTGTTGACTACATAATGGACTGGGCAAGGGATATATACCGTATAGCCATTTTGAAACAGCTACAATCCTTGGTCACCGGCCAAGCATTTGATCAAATCAGCATCGTTGACAGTGAGATCATCTCGATGCGCAGGGATCCAACAAGTTGGATCCCTGCCCCACCCAGCACGGTGTCCGACGATATGGAGGAGCTAAGTGATGCTACGGACGAAGATGGGCCTCCACTCATGTCACTCGATCACCAGGCGCTGCTCGATTTCCGGATTCCAAATTCAAAGCACGGCACCGTCCGCTCTGCCTCTCTAATAGACTTTCGGTTTGACTGCTTTTACCTGACACAACGACTTGTCCCGAGCTTTCTACAGGTTATTGGAGGGCGGCAGCACAATCCACGTAACACGGAAAAAGCTGCGCGACACATTATTAATTTTATCACACAGTTTGATGAGGTTCTTGTGATGTCAGGGGCAGACCTTGAGCTTCTCGAAAACCTTTGGACCGGTACTGATCGTTCAGATCCGGAAGCACGGGAAGAAGACTTCTACGTTATCATGGAATGTAGCTGGTATTTCACACACACTTGGCAGATAACAAGGCAACTTTCATGCTTTGCTATCTCTAAAACAGCCTTCGATATAATGAAGTCTTACGCACGGTTTTCTGTACGTCGCAAGGGCATCGAGAATCTACATCAACGCGAACGGCGTTGTTCCCCAAAGGTTCTCCGGCAGTGTGTTGAGTGTCTTCGAGCGGGCTCTCCCTGGCAAGTACTCTTAGCCGCAATTTCCAGCACTCTGGTTACTATTTATCCCCTACCTGTCCGACGCAGGGAAGATTTCGCACCACCGGTTGATGTCCTCGGCTTTGGTTATGCTCGCGAAGACCGAGTGAGGACCTTTATCTTGAAGTATCTCAAGCGAAATTTATGGAAACCAAAAAGATACACCACCGTCTCAAGTGAGGAAATGCACGCCGCGCTTCGTGAAGGATACACTATGGATGAAGTCTTCGCTGCGAGGCGGGATAAGCCACCGAAACACACAGATCAGTCCTGGAAGCGTATATCAGAACAGCGAACGCACATACTTGAGGAAGAATGTCACAATTCTGATCTGTGCGAACGATGCTGCCGGGGATCCGAGGCCACTATCTCCGCCTTCGCTCACGGATATTTGGACACACGAAACCAACCTTTGTTATCCGGCTATGGAACAGTCTTAGTAGTGTCATTACGAGATCCAGCAGGATCATATGTGCCCGACGCATGTGTTTTCGCGCTTAGGCCACTCCGTGATCTGAAAGACAATATGGCTCTGTCAATTATGATTGAGGATCTAATGCAGGGTGCTCTTGTCTACCATACAATGAAGTGCGGTGCCAGAGACATTATATCAGGCGATGGCATGAAACGGAATTTACCTTTGCCATTCCGCCCCACAATGCTCGATGAGGAAGTCTCTCTATTGAACTGGATCCGGGAACTGCGCGACGAGCCACTACTAGACCGTCAAGACCACCCTGGCTACGAAGCCTGGTGTAAGGAGCTATATGACCCACACATGCTTATGTACTATCTCAGCATTGGCCATCTCGAGCACGAAGCATTGATGCTCGCTAAAAAGGAATATAACCGCCGGGACTTTTATCTCGCGGTTGTCCGGATTAGAGAGGAAAATGGCAAGGAAAACTTTTTCGATACGTTTTTTAATAGTGCTCACAGGAAAGTGAAACTTAGCGGTAACGCCCTTACCCCGCGATTTATCACATGGGATGCCGGAAAGGACTTTTTGAGGCAAGAATACCCAAGGCAGTTTCAGTACATCTCGTCGTTGAATATGACTCAGAGACCAACTGCAAGAGAAGGGTCGATGTGATGGATGTTGATGCTGAAGGATGGAGCCAGGCTTCATTTATACACTAGGAAAGCCGAAAGCGCAAGATTCAAGCCTACATGGGGAGTGTCTGTGAGTCAACAAGGTCGATACCATATGTTTTGAGGAATTCAACAATATGAAGTAAACCCATTATCATGCATGGTGCATCACAGTGTGAGTTTATAGGGCCCTGGTAAACCCCTGGCTTTGATATGCGGCTACGACATGTGATTTCTGGGAGATGCGGTGTCATAGGCTACAGCAAGATAAAGAGGCGCTGTATGCAATCAAAACTGCACCTATGGAGGGCTAGATTCTACACACTTAAGCAGTATACGGTCATTGCTCCCTTCACACTGATCCTACAGTAAGGGATGAGGTATCTAGGGATGACGGCTCCTAAACGCGCCCAATGTTCCTCACTTAAATGCGGCGGGGCATGAGTGCATAGAGGAATGTCAACAAGCAAGACATCCCAGAAGGCCTAATGCTTCCCACATTAGCATGTTGGAGATGAGGTCAAGCAAATAATATATTGCCTTCGCCTAATTAGATATGAACTTTTTATCTCAAAGACTGTACCTTTTTTGCAGACTTTGCATGGGAAATCCCAATTAACAAAGCAAATTCTGTTCCCTGCATCACAAGGTGACTGTTACACTCGGCCAAGTACACAGATTTTGCCTTGGCCCTTTTCATCGAGACGGGAGCTGATGG